AAAAGGTTAAGCGTGGGGAAGAGGGTGATGTACGGTGCTTCGCGGTAAATGACAGAGTAGCTGCACGTGATTTTCTGAGTTCTTCGAAGTGGAAATTCGGTATCGTCACCGAAAGGCTCGGAAAGTTACATTATATGGTAGAACTAGATGATGGACGCATTTGGAAGAGACATATTGATCAGCTGAGGTCCGGTCCTGTAGAGCGAGTTTTTGAAGCAGATCCTTATTCTGTTAACGTCGATATTTACAACCGTAACCGCTGTGAAAATCCTATAGCTTCACCAACACGACAGCTGCCGACTAAACAGACAGACCTTGCAGCTGTCGTTCAAAACAACCAGACAACTCCGACTATTCCGACAATTTCAGGTACCGTTTCTGTTACTCAGGATACTATCGAGTCAAGGGTAGCTAGCAAAGAGAAAGGCCAGTCAAGGTTAGGGTCAGGAGATAAGGTAATCAACATACCTACTCACATTTCAGTAGATACATCGGGCGATCCACTAGGGTCAGAAATCCCCCAAAAAGGCTTGATCTTTGATTTGATATAATTTCTAACAATACTAACCACGATTATCGTATTAAACATTTGTTAGGGTACTATTTCTCTTTAAGGGGGGAAGAGATGTTATGATTTACCCTAATTTACCTAACTTGCATTTACATACCGGCAAGCATACCGGTCTATAACTCTAAAATGTCATTGACAATCAGGTGAGAAACGCTAGAGAAATAAACATCACTTTTGTACGAACAACCGAACAAGTTACACGGTTTATTTTACTCTGCCACCAATCCGAAACTTGGCCATTGATTACAACAGAAGTTTACATGCATGAATGTTTGCATGCATGGATGTTTACATCACCAGTAAAATTCAGATTTTTTTTAGTGTGTATAGTCCTTGTGACGCATCGAAATTAGAAGAAATTTAGTATGCAATCTTTATAGATTACTATCTATTTATTTATTTATTTCGTCAACCAACGTAGACTAGTACAACTAATACAGTTTTGTTTTCTTAAATATATATTTATATAAAAAAAGTAGTGTCAGCTTTCTTGTCTTTTCTTTTATGAGTTGTTATTTCTTATGGAATAAAAATATTGCTTTAGTTTATGCCGGGACATTGTAAAGTCAATGGTTTCGCAGTGTTTATTGTAAGAGGCCATCATGCGGTTTAATGGCCCATATTTTGCATAATTTGTGCGATGATGTTTTATGGCAAATAAATTTCGATTTCGGAGTTGCCGAGTGGGTGCATGGAAATTTACTTTTGATAAAAGTTCTGTTGAGTCAATTCGCTGCGAAACGCTACGAAACTTGTAAGTTTCATTTACAAATGAAAGCATTGCATATTCACGACGCTCTTTTAATGTTTGTATGTTTATAAGCATGCAGCGTGCTTCATATGATGGAAGAGGAAATGAAGTCCAACCTAATTTACGAAGAGCGTATAATAGAAATTGGTTTTGTACTGATTCTAATCTTTCTTCGTGCGTGATTGAAAATGAAGACCATACAATGCTGCAATATTCCAGTATTGACCTCACATAGGCAATATATAGTGTTTTAATTGTGTAAGGGTCCTGAAAGTTATAGCAAAAGCGCTTGATAAAGCCTAGCATGTTATTTGCCCTGTGAATAATTGTATTGTAATGGTCTATGAAAGTTAGCTTAGAGTCTAAGATAATTCCTAAATCCCTAACTCTTTCACATTTGTCTACAGTTTGATTTCCTAATGCAATTGAAATGTTTGAAGTTGTTCTTTTTCTACTAAATGATATTAAGTTACATATCATGCGACCAATAAAGAAATTATCTTAAATGTAAGTGTCGATCAATAAAGGTTTTTAAATATATTCATCGCAATCAAAGAAACTTGAAAGTAAAGAATTACCGACATTAATCTTTATTTTTGTGTAAAGAACTTAGAAAAAGTTTCACGAATGGTTGGTCGGGTAATTTCTATCTCTATCAAGCGTTGCCAGATATACCGATTTTTCGGTATTTATACCGATTTCCAAACTAGATACCGATATACAGATAAGGTTCCTCAGAATACTGATATTAAAGATTTTATACCGATTTATACCGATTTTTTTTTTTAAATAATCAAAAATATTATTGCCTGCTCCCGCTCGAATTTCGGAGAAATTTTTTGTGAGAGACTTGTATCTTTTTCAATACCTCGTAGTTTTTAGCCTTCAAAATTCTAAAAAAAAACCATCTCTAAAGATGCCTTTTGTTTGATACTCTGTTGACTAATGTTTGCATTTCCTCCTTTTGATTGGCTACCCATCAATCGAGAAATAGTTCAGGTAATTCCTAGGGAATCGAGAAATATTTTTTAAACGTTTTTTATCTTCCGGAAGTTTTTATTAATTTTTTAACTTCCTGAAGTTTCATCCAACTTTCCCTGGAATTTTCTTCCACCTTACTTTGGAAGCTTCTTCAGCCTTCGCTCGAATGATTCTTTCATATTCTCCCGCCAGTTTTTTCAACTTTTCCGGAATTTCAAGGATGCTATCAGATTTTTTTATTGCGAAACCACACTAGCTGCAGAAACATTTAAGAAGTTCTGAAACTTCAGAAAAGTCCAGACTTTTGTGTAAGTTTCGATAAATTAAAGACAGTTTCAAAAACTTTTGTTACAATTCAAAAACCCGGAAATTTCAGAATAGTTCAGCGAACTCCAGTGAATTTAAGGAAACATCATTAATATTTTGAAAACTTCACAAGTGCAAAGAACTTCGGGGAAATTTAAGGTAGGAACTTTAGTGAAGCAGGGATGTTTATGAATTATGTACTTGTTTCTTTCGACTGTTCCGTAAGCGCTCTGGCTTTTGACTTTCTTCAGATGTTTCTTCCAATATACCTTAGGAAGTTTCTGCCAGCGTCTCTAGGAAGTTTCTTTCGTCTTCTCCAGGAAGTTCAATTAATTCTTTAAGAAATTTCTTCTGGAAGTTTGACCATAAGGTTTTTCGACTTCTTTTGGAAGGGTTTTTCGAGCTTCTTCTGGCTTTTCCTGGAATTGACTACTTCTGAAAATTTACTTCTGATTTCCGAAACTGGCTTCCTTTGGATGTGACATCCGATTTTTTCCGATAGCTTATTTAAATTTTCGCCACAAGTTTCTCAATACGTGTCTTGGAAGTTTCCCGGATGTTTTTCTAACTTCTCTTAGAACTTTACTAGAACCATTCAGGAGAGCTTCTTTCGTCTTTCTCTGGAGGTTTTTTCAGCTTCGTTTAGAAGCTAATTCAAACATTCCCCGGAGTTTTCTTCCGGAATTTTTCGATCATAGTTCAAAAGCAAAAATGTTGTTTTGATTAACGGCTTTTAAAACACTGCAACGACTACGATGTAATCTGCTCGACATTTCGGCCATGGGTCGTGAACTTTTTCAAGAGAAAATATTGTTTGTCATTATTGTCAATAGTTTAGTCGTTGTTGTGGCTGATTTTCCATATTTTGGCTTCATGAAATGATATTTAATTGAAAAAACTACTCGGTCACAATTTCGATCACCATTTGAGGATAACGATAATTTTAAAAATTAAATTAAAAAATTAAAGATTGTTTTAAGACCCCGTAACATGGGTAGATGACCTTTTCGTGGTACGTTACGGGATGTAAGATCTACCACCGATTCCTAGTCCTGACTACTTCAAACTAGGGGAACAGGATTTTTCAGTAATCCAAGGAACACATCTTAGTCCTTGTTACTTTTTATACCTTGTTGATAGTGACAAGACTCGGCTTTATCCACCGAGGATGATCTTGAAACAAGGGAAAAATGAGTAAGTTAGTCTTCATCTATGTGATTCCTAATCTTCTATTCGTTGTTCCCTAGTTTGAAGTGGTTAAGACTAGGGTTCTGATGCATGGTCATTATCGGTGTCATACCTTAATTTTGTTGCTAAGGAATCCAATTTTGACTGACAAAGGGGCGCGCCTTTGGAGGGTGTTTCAACACTCCGAAGGGTATAAATAGCGGGACCTTTCAATTAGACTCGGATCCTTGCGATAAATGCAAGCGTGGCAACTGTAAAAAAATCGAATACTTCATCATTTCTCAATGGTGATGGAGTAATACGACATGCACTAAACTAAGGACACGGGATATACTACAATAGATCAATTTACTGGTCGCAGTAGTGTTAGGTCCCGAACAGAGGAAAAAAAAAAACTGAGAAAGCCGTTAAACAAAGCAATTACCCTCAAGTCCCAGTTGTCACCATTGTTAAAAATTTTGTTTTCCAAAACGGCAAAAATATAAAATTAATTAAATAGTATACCGATAAATACCGATTTTTTAATACCTTCGATACCGATAAGCTTTAAAACAATCTGGCAACGCTGATCTCTATCTCTCCCCCGTATTGTCCGTATTATCACCTCTTCTCTTAGGTTTTTTATCATTTTTTTGACTTCCAATTCGCCTTAACACCAGTCCCGAATAAAGCCCTACAGTAAAAGTATGGACGACTGTCACCACAAAACTGAAAAAAGCTGTTCCAATCGAGCAAAGCGGTGCATTTTGACGGTTCGATTGGAACAACTTTTGACAGACATCCATACTTTTACTGTAGGGCTTTAGTCCCGAAGTGACGTTTCTTCACACACATTTTGACAGTTCATTATGGGGTTTTGCGTTGGAGTGAGAGAATAAGAAAAAGTCCGCCATGTTTCACACATAGACTGACAGATACATATGAGATTTCTCCATAGGAGTAAAGAGTTACAGAGCTCTCGTCAACGCCAATTGACCACTTTGTCAAGCATAGTTTTAGCGTGACTTTCTACCAGCTATTTCACAAAACTGGACCGAATAATTTCTATTTTTTTATAAAACGCACAAAATTTAATGTTGGCTACTATTCTTGAGGTTCTAGAAGAAAAAATCTCAAAATAATGTTTTATTTCAAAGTTCGAGTGGTAGTAAACGTCATTTTAAGTGCTCGAATAAAGTGGTTAATTTTTTCAATGTTTTAAAAATGCACAGTTTCGTTGATGGAAAAAAAAATCGCTATCTCTTCGTTTAAAGGACTTACGGCCGTTTTTATAATTCTTGCAGATTGCAGGTCTTAGCAGTTAATCTCAAGATAAGATGTCGCATGATGATATGCGACAAAATTCTCGGATACGACGGCATGATACAATGATATGTTGCTGTTGTATGGTTCCCAAAAGTGACGAGACGATAACGATTCCTATATACCTAGATCAGACGATCAGAGCTGCCTTGCCTTTTCTTTTCGTTTACCGGCTTTCATGAAGAAAGTTTTTTCAATCAGGATTAGGTTATAATATTAAATTACAATATTATTATTATTACAATCATTCATCTTTACACCCGTTCGAGAAATTTGGTATGTATAAATACAATTATTCCATTCCGTATTGCTAAACAATTTGAGCACTTCCTTCATTTTGATGAAAGGATTGTTTTTTAATTGCTTTCTGTGTTCAATCCATTTGTTAGAAAGAGATGATCAACTAAAATTCCTTCATTCATTAATTCTGTTCCCGAACAGCACATTCTGTAACAGACGAACGGGCGGGATTTGAGTGAGGTGGTATGTATACTTGTTTGTCTCATACTACCGCAAATGTCGCTCCACACCGATGTCAATCATACACGCTCATGCCTGAAGTCTGAAGACAGCATGGCAAGGGCGATGTCAATTATACAAGGTCTGACCCAACCGGCTTATTGGTATTAGTGAAATGTGGAAAAGTTTAGTGGTGTTCGTATTCCATCACAATGTTTATCTTTTTACACGAAACAGCTGTTTTCTGTGACGACACGTCTGCCATTCGCAGTATGGAATGTTGTGCTGCCGTGACATCGTCATTCGCTTGCTCAGCAATGTTTACAACATTTTTGCTTCTAACACCAGCAAGCTGCCTGTTGCTCTAGACCTTGTATGATTGACATCGGGGTCCGGTACATTCTTTAGGCCAATCAGCAACGACCAAGTTTATTTACTTCCTCCATGCAGTTCAATTCATTGACGTGTCCACTGATCCCTCACACACACCTCCGTAACTTTTGGAGGTAAACACAGCCTATCTGATTTGCCTGTCACAGATGTTTGTTTGCCTTAGTTCAACTGCAGCTATGAACCACACTATTAAAGCATTTTGAGAAAATATGCATCTACCCGATTCGATTATTAGGGAGTTCTGGTTCTGAAGCTGTTTGCCGATTTCTAGTGTGGATTGCATCAGCAGCAGTCTTGTGTTGACTATCGCAGAGTGATATTGTTGTACTACTTGCAGTGTGCTATCAGTAACTGTTGAAGCTGTCATAGCATTTTAGCTAACTGTTTGCCTTTTTATTATAACAGCTAATAATCGAAGGCAACAAACAAATAAGAAAGAAGGATGGATACCGCCATGGTAAGAATCATTCGAGAACTATCGAGATCCGGTATTGTACATCACCATTGTGTTTCTAATTTTATTTTTGCAGGTCGCACAGGAAGACGATTTTGTTCCTCGGGACTATCAGAACCAATTGAAGAAAATATGCTTGCAGAAAAACACCTTAATATATCTGCCAACGGGAGCCGGGAAAACCCATATCGCACTAATGGCGATCAAAGAGATGGGAAATGATTTGATTAAGTGAGTACGGTTTTACTTTTCAATACCTATACTAGATATTTTCTTTGCTAGCTGCAAAGCATAGCACACCATTGAGTGCTGCACAGAAGGAATATGAAAACAAGTGTTTCTTTATACTCGAAATAACGCGATAACGCGTCTGGAGAGTAATGAGTCAAGTTCAATGCAAGTGTTGGGGGAGCCGGGACGGGAATGTATATGTAAATGTTAGGTACTTTGTATATTTTCTTCTTGCTGAGTTCAATAATGTTTATGCAGAGTAAGCACGTTCATTCGTGTTCAGATGGGTTTCAATTTCAGGGTACTTTAGAACTTACACTACCCGTCATATCGTTTGAAAAAGTATTGCAACACTCATTGAATTCACGTATTCACATTCTCTTGCCAAACTTTTCAAGGTGATGCAATATTCAATACGATTGTTGTAATATTTTTTTCATGCGATTCCATACTTATGACGAGTAGTGTATGTCGGGATTATATTATTTCAAGCTTTCAACCCTAAATTTTGGGATACAAGGGTTTACCAGTCTAGAAATCGAAAATAGGACGCAGAGGGTCCGCATAGCAACACGTAAGCATGTGCAGCACGACTTTAGAACAACGCGATGTTAAAAAATGCTTCTAACAATTCAGTTGACTCCTCCGTACTCGATCTCAGTTTGACTTGATATTCTCCCTAGCTTCGATGGCTTCGACGCACAGTGGGGTATTTATTAATTCTAGCTGTCCAAAAATATTTAATCACTCTAACTTGTCACATACATCTTATTATTCAAGGATAATCAAATTGTTTGGTCAAAAAAGGGTGGAGTCATGTTTTGGAGGGGGGGGGGGGGGGTCATGTTATAATGATGTTTTTTTGAAAACTTGTAAGTCGTTAAGTATTCTTCGGATTTAGTTACCGCAAAAGGATGAAATGTAGGGAACTAACAATACTTTAAATAAAAAATATATAAATACATATACATCTGCGGCCAAACTTTTTGAAACTCATGGAAAAATTGGTGATATGGTTATAAATGTTGACAATAATTTTTGATATTCGAAATATTTCAAGATCCTTATTTTCGTACACGCAAAATTCACCATAGTTTGGTTCTGCATAACAATATAAGCTTAACTGAATATAACAAATTACTTAAAAGCTGGATAATTCACATGAAAATCCGCCTATGATACTATTTTTTGGCAGCAGGTGTAAAAATTTATAAGAAAATAAAATATTGAAGTTTTTTTTTACGTTTTACAATCAGTCATTGTCATTCAAATAAGTTCAGCTGAAAAAGAACAAGATATTTATGTTTAGATTTGAGATTTAAGGTAAAAGTTGATGGAATCTACAAATGGCTGCTATTTTGTTTATTTTGCTTTGCCACTTCGAATTTTTGACGGCACAGATCTCAGAAACTAAAAGGATTTCGTGTGCCAAGTTATAATCACTCTTTTGCTGCACTGCAGCATACATGTAATTACAATTTCATACACGGAAACTTTGTAGTTTCTGAGATTCGAGGTGCCAAAAATTCGAAGTGGTAAGGCAAAATAAACAAAATAGCGGCCATTTGTGGATTTCATGTACTTTCACCTTTGGAAAATAATTATATTACACCGAGTATTACACAGCAACAACATATTTAACAATTCAAAAACAAAAACAAAACAACATGTAAAAAAACAAATGAAATTAATCGAAACCTTATTCCGAATTTGAGAAGACATTTTCTTGTTCATTAGAAACATTTTTTTCATATGTTTCTTCCATCTCTAATTTTTCCAGCCGATCTTCGCTTTCTTGCATAAAGTCCTCTGAGAGTAACATTTGAAATGTTTATGTCGTCAAAACCCTTGACTTTTTTCGAGGGATTTTCATTAATCCTAAAAGAATATTTATTGTCTTTCAGTACATCCATGTTGTATAGCTTCTTCTGACAACTGCCTTATTGGTAGCAGTGCATGTTCTATAACTGTATATGTATAACATCGGACACCATGGATACAGTCGAACGTTTGTCTCCGCTGTTTCTTGAGTAAATGTTTCAAACCTTTCCGTATAAATTTTAAAACCACTAGCTAGTGTCTCCAATAATAACTTTAAGCTGGTAGATCAAATTAAAATCAAACCTGTTATTTGAGCAGCGGTTTCCGGATCAGCAAAGAATCTTCGACTAGTGTTGCCATCCGAATTTCCAAAGCCCGGTTTTCTTGAATGTGTTCTTTTCTTTCTTTGACGATTTGCTTTTCATTGCCAGTTAAGCGCCATTTTTTGATCGGCAACTTGTAAGAAAGATGTAAAATTGTCTCGAAAATACGAATCCTGGCATGAAAAATGGACAATCCGAATTTAAGAGAATCTGTGTTAATTTCCTTTTTAACACCAAGATTATTGAATTCCTTTGAACTTACGCTACATACATAATATTTCATCGTTGATGTCGTTTCAGCTGCTGCATTTCACACTTTCCCATCAACCATAGTGAGCATCAAAGTATGTCTAATAGTGAACTGCTTGCCATTTAATGTAACTTTTGTTGACCGTAGCGAATTAATTGCATTTTTAATATATCTGATCGCTTCATTAATTACCTCAGATGATTCTTTGATAAACCTAATGTGGATTGGGCGACAGTAGCGAGGTGAAGATGAAGTTGGGTTTTGCCAAACTATGTTTGCATTGGATCCACAAACTATTCTCAACTGTGGAACACACTCGTATCAGAATTCATATCCACACGCATCTGATGGAATTATGAAACAAGAAAAATATACCTGTAAGGCAACCCCCCCCCCTCCTTCCCCCTCTCAAAACAAGGCCTTGACCGCCTAGGTTGCCGCCTTGACCACCATATAATGAATAAAAATGTCAATACCTGCATTTGTGTACTTTTTTGATAAATTCACCCATATGGACACGCCATCTTCATTTTCCAATTCTCGAAAGATCGCAAATTATCGCAGCTGATTTTTTGCTATAATCTTCTATACATATGTACATATAATGCCTCATATACGGCTTTACAGGATATTACAGGACAAGTCAACTTTTTTATCACGATACATTTATTTTATAGTTTAAATAGCACTTTAAGACAAGATTTTCTTAAACTGCTTCTACGAAGTCAAAACTAAGTGAAATCAGCTGATGTCATGTGGAATACATATTTCAATACCTGCTTGATCACTATCTATTTTTGCAAAAATTGTAGAGAGTAATTGAAACACGTCTTTATCGGTTGACGTTGAACAGTGGAATGAAAATTTTATTCAGAAACTTAGCAACTAATAACAAGTGCATATAGCGACGCGAATTACTAGGTTGCTACGATCACAATACTCTTCCGTAATCCGCGACGCCAGTTAGCTTCCGAAACTTCTGCTGCTTCTGAACGGTCATCGGCTTCGTGAACCCATCGGCTGGTTGTTCCGTTGTCGACGTGTAGCTCAGTTGGACGACACCATGCTACAGGCTATCATGCACGAAATGGTACCGTATACTGACGTGCTTGGTCCGGGGGTTATACGAACCGTTGTTGGCGATGCTGATTGCCGATTGATTATCGCAGCACACGGAAATCGGTTTGGCCTCGCAAAACTGCGACTGCAGATTACTCCACCACATAGCTTCCTGGATCGTGCGAGACATGGCCATGTATTCCGCTTCACAGGACGAAAGGGCTACGGTAGGCTGCTTCTTGACGTTCCACGAGATCGCACCTCCCTGCATCATGAACACATAACCGGTTGTGGATTTCCGGTCGTCCGCATCTCCTCCCCAATCGGCATCGCTGTACCCAACTATGTCCGCTGGACCGCTTGTCGAGTACTCTAGCTTCTTGGTTATTGTACCTTTCAGGTACCGGATTATCCTCTTCACCGCTTCCCAGTGAGGACGGCCAGGGTTGGCACTGTACTGGCTCACAACGTTGACGGCAAAAGCAATATCCGGTCGGGTGACTTGAGCTGCAAACGACAAACACCAGACTGCTTCCTTGTATGGCACTGACTTCATTTCTTCCATTTCAGATTTCGTCTTCGGTGCCATCGACTTGTCCAACTTGATGCTTGGATCTGCTGGTGTTGCAACTGGGTGGGCATCGGCCATACCGAAGCGATAGACGATGTCTTCGATGTAGGCTTGTGGATCCAACCACAGCTTGCCTTCTTCACGCTTCCTCATAATTCTGATGCCAAGACATTGTTGCGCCTCCCCGAGGTCTTTCATTTGGAACCGCTTGTGCAGATGGGCCTTCAGCTTCTTCTTTTGCTTCCGATCGTTTGTGAAAATCAAGAGATCGTCGACGTAGATAGTCACAAACATCATCTTTCCTCCACGGATGCACCAGTACAAACAGGGATCCACGCTCGACCGTTTCAGTCCGAACTCCTGCAGCACCACATCCAACTGCGCGTTCCATACGCGGCTGGACTGCTTGAGACCGTAGAGGGCCTTCTTCAGTCTGCACACCTTTCCGTTCGACGCATCGAACCCTTCTGGCTGGAGCATGTAGATCTCCTCGTCCTTCAGCTCGCTCTGCAGGAATGCAGTGACCGCGTCCATTTGGTCAATATCCAAGTTGTGCCGCACCGCCAGTGCCATCAGATACCGGACGGTCGCGTACCGCACGACCGGGGAGTACACCTCGTCGTAGTCCAGACCAGGTCGTTGAGAGCAGCCCTTCACCACGAGGCGGGCCTTGTACCTCTGGATGGTTCCGTCGAGACCTCGCTTCGTTCGGTACACCCACTTGTTCCGAATCGCTTTCCGCCCTTCAGGCAGATCGGTGAGCACCCACGTGCTATTCTCGCTGAGGGATGCAATTTCCTCACGCATAGCCGCAATCCAATGATCTCGGTCCGGCCGCCGCAGAGCCTCATCGTAGCTCGTCGAATCATCCATCGTATCATCGTCGCTCGTCGTGTTGAAGGATAACTGAGGGTAATGAACACCACCAGAAAAGGAACCGTAACTAATAAAATCATTATACTTTCCTGGATTACGGCGCTCCCGACCGCTGCGCCTTAACCCTTGCTGCAACTCAGCTGGTCTAATCAGTTGCGGTGGGAGCGCAAAATCGGCACAGGCATCCTCGACAACGACGATGTCTTCCTCCGTTGTTTCGGTTTCACCAGGATTGCCAACCGGTTGATCGATAACAACAGCAGGCCCGGCTGCACCAGGTACGACGATGCCATTCGGTTGTTCGCCTAGAGGAAGCACAGCGTGTTGACCATCTTCAGGAGTATCAGCTGCACCGGACTCAGGACGATCATGGATTTCATCCGAACAAAGCTCCATGAACTCCACCGGCTGCACTCGTTGTTCTGCCATACAGATAGCGACGCCTTCTTCCAGTACCATGACATCTCGGCTAACGTGGAAACGGTCATTCTCTGGATCATACACCCGGTAACCTTTCGTGTCTTCACAATAGCCGACGAAAATGCCTTTCTCAGATTTGGGATCAAACTTCTTCCTTTTCGCTTTCGGTACCAGAGTCATCACGCTCGAGCCAAAAATCTTGAGGTGCTTCAAATTCGGCTTCTTTCCGGTCCACGCCTCTTCCGGCGTTTTCTCTTCCAGGGAACGAGTAGGACATCGATTCACCACGTGAGCCGCGGTCGAAATAGCTTCTGCCCAAAACTCTTTTCCCAGCTTCACATCGTTGAGCATGCACCGCGCCTTTTCAACCAGCGTGCGGTTCATGCGTTCTGCCGCCCCGTTCTGCTCAGGCGTATACGGGCACGTGGTTTGATGTCGAATCCCATCGGACTCCAACACCTTCCGGAAATCTGCATTCACGTACTCCTTTCCGTTGTCTGAACGCAAGATTTTTAGCTTCTTGCCCGTCTGTCTTTCCGCTTTGGCCTTGAACGCTTCGAGTGCTTGATTTTTCTGCTTCAAGAAGTAAACCACCACCCGCTTGCTTGCATCGTCCAGGAACGTCATGAAATAACGGCTTCCACCCAACGACGAAATCTCCACTGGTCCGCAGAGGTCGGAGTGTACCAACTCCAACAGTTCTTCAGCTCTTGACTCGCTGCTTGGGAATGAACGCCTCGTATGCTTGCCCTCCAGACAGGCAACACATCCTTCTAACGACCCATCTTGGAAATCTATTCCGTTGGCGATTCGCTTGAGCTTCTTCAAACCACCTTCGTGAAGATGCCCCTGACGTCGATGCCAGAACTCCATGCCGCTTGCCAAAAACGACTTCTCTGGCCAATTGACTCTGTAGAGGCCACCTTCCTCGACGCCGGTGACAACCAGATCACCGTCTTCGTTCCGAACTTCGCATCTGTCTTTGGTGAAAATAACAGTTTTGCCCTTTTTGCAGATCGTACTTACGGATAACAAGTTGGTGGCTAGGTCGGGAATCTTCAGAACACCGCTGACATCGATTCGACCATCGTTGCTGTCCAACACGACTGAACCCTTCGCTACGACCTTCATAGTGGCATTGTTCGCCGTTCCGACGTTGTGGTCCATCTTGACTTCATCGAGAAATTTCTGATCCGGCCGTGCCATGTGGCAAGTGGCACCCGAATCGAAATACCATTCACTGGTGCTGACGTCTCCCATGGCAAAAATGGAACAGAGACCCTTGTGTTTGCTCGCCTTCGCTTGCTGCTGCTTCTCCGGACACTTGGCAGCACAATGACCCGGCTTCTTGCAGGTGTAACATAACTTTTCGCCTTTGCTACCGTCCTTGCATTCGCTTTACTGTACAGGGCACCTTCCGCGCCGCTGCTGACCGGACCACGATCCAGCTTAACGTCCTGTAGAATTTGGGATTTCACTGCATCCGCTGTCAAAGCCGCTCCAGAGGCTTCGAGTCCCATTATCATGGGCTCGTACTGATCAGGAAGACCCATCAGCAACATCGCCGCGAGCCAGGAATCGTCCACCTTAAAGCCCGCGGATGCAAGCTTGTGGCTTGTGCTCATTAATTCGTCCACGTACGCCTCAACGCTAGCACAGTTGATCAGCCGTACCGACGTAAATTTTCTGAGCAGTCCAATCTTCCTGGTTAGTCCACTGTCCTGGAATGCAGATTGCAGCTTCGTCCAGGCTTCCTTTGCTGTAACCGCATCCTGCACCAGACTGTAATTGTAGCTCTCGAGGCTTAAGCAAATCGTAGCCAGAGCCTGCAACTTCAAATCCTCAGGAACACCTTCTCCGTCTCCGTCGATGGCAGACCAGCTTCCTTCACGGATTAGGATCATCCGCATCGCAAATGCCCACGTCGTGTAGTTCTCCCGGCCTCTTAGCTTGTCAATGGCTGGCAGTGCCACGGAACTTCTGGTGACTCGAACGCTTCCAGCTTCAGTCCTGCCGTTTCCGTTGGCGCCTCCATCTCCTTGACCTTGCTGTCCGGATCCTAAACTTCCGCCTGTGGACATACATCTTCTGGTCTTGAAATTTTAGAGTCTTCCGGTTAGGTATTCTGGGCCCAGAACCAATTGTAGAGAGTAATTGAAACACGTCTTTATCGGTTGACGTTGAACAGTGGAATGAAAATTTTATTCAGAAACTTAGCAACTAATAACAAGTGCATATAGCGACGCGAATTACTAGGTTGCTACGATCACAATAGCAAATTAATGTGATTATCCCAACAACAAGTAGAGACACGAAAACAATGGAACAGCGGATCGATTGTTTCTAACAAATCAACACGATTCAACAACAGGCAAGTTTGAACTGATGCCACAACGCGGTCAGTTTAGAAAAAGAAATAATGAATACACGGCAATGTTACCCTATCTCTGAAGTAAACAATGCATGCATTCAGAATCTGTTTTGGCTTATTTTGAGAAATCGACTTTTGGCCAGCTAGCGTAGAACAAATACCCCTCCGTGCGACGGCTTCTCCCAATATTCTTCATCTTAATGCTCTAGATGCACTTCCACAGTTATGAATTGAGAGCTTTCGATGCCTGTACCACTTTTGCTTTAGTATAATTGTGTGGCAATTTCTGGACCGAACCCAGCCATCTCCATCAGCATAGTCTTGCTTTGTAGCTGCGCCTTTACCGACTGAAGTCAGGTTCACAATTGATATTATATTCGCAGCGGCCTTCTATGTTGACATTAGTTTTTTGTAATATAAATTTGATGATATAAAACATTTAAAAATAGCTGAATGCATAGCAGAGGACACACTCTCACAAACTTTAGTTTCTATTTAACTTGTCCCTTTCTTTCCCCGTCTGCAGACCGCTGAACGAAGGTGGTAAGCGTACTTTTTTCGTGGTGAACACGGTGGCTCTCGCCAAACAACAGGCCGAGTTCCTTAGCCGTAGCGTGCCTTATGACACCTCTATCTATACCAGCGATCGCAACGTGGACACCTGGAAGCACGATAAGTGGTTGGAGGAGTTTGCCAAGTATCAGGTAAGCAATGTTCGTTTCAATGTTAGACATTTGTTTTCTAATGGACGGAACACTTTTCTCAGATTGTGGTCTGCACATGCCAAATTCTGCTGGATGTGCTAAAGCATGGCTATCTCTCCATAAAACACATAAATTTACTCATTTTCGACGAATGTCACCACGGAGTAGGAGAACACCCCATGCATGGCATTATGGAACAATTTCTGCGAGTACCGAAATCCCAGCATCCACGAGTGATCGGGCTTTCCGGTATGCTGCTTTACAAGCAGATCAAATCGGCTGACCTAGTCGCTACGGAACTGGACAGACTGGAAAACACGTTTTATGCTACCATTGCCACCGTCGGAAGCTATGACTCCTACACAGAGGTATGCAGGTTTTCCACAGATCCCAAAGAATTGCTCGTCAGCTATGACGTGACTCACCCGGCTCCCATCGTCTTAGACATTATACGGAGCATTGATAATTTTATAACTACGATAGGCGATTTCGATCTACCCAAGTACATCAATCAGAATAAAGCTCTCCAGCGGGATTGTCCCAAACCACTGAAGTTGATACAACGGGGTTTCAGAGATTTGGTGTACCAAATCAAAGATCTTGGTTTATATGGGGGATCAGTTGCCGTCCTAGGGTTAATTGTACAGTTTGAGCTGGACAAGCGAGAGTCCGATAGTTCAACCCTCCGGTTGGTTTATCGATCATGCATCACATGTAAGATTACGCTTTGGAATTTTGTTGTCGATTTATCTCAACTAACTACTCGAATCTATATATTAAAGTTTGCGAAAGTCTACGGCATCAGTTGGAAAAGCTAATGAGTGGCTTGGATGTGAAGGATAAATTGGTAAGGTTCTCATCCAAAAAAGTCCGTCAACTGATCCATCAACTAGAGACGATGTACGAAGCAAACCACGATAAACGTACCAAGACGTTGGTCTTTGTGCAGCGGCGTTTTTCAGCAAAAGTGCTATACCACTTGCTGAAGATCTATTTCTCCCAGACGGACGATGCGGCTCTGATCCTTCCGGACTTTATGGTTGGCAACAATGGATCAATGCCAGAATCTATCGAGCAGATATTGAGCGCCAAGAAGGACCGCAGGGTAATGACCACCTAGTTAGGTTTATATACGATTGACGGGTTGGGTTATTGTCTTTCTTTTTCTAATTCCATTAAGGTTCTGGAACGTTTCAAGAAGAACGAAACGAACGTCATAGTGACTACCAACGTTCTGGAGGAGGGCATTGATCTGCAGATGTGCAACACGGTTATCAAATACGATCATCCTGAGACGTTTGCGTCTTATGAACAATCGAAGGGCCGGGCTAGAATGAAGGACAGTCGCTATCTGGTGATGCTGGATCAGAACAAAAGAGAAGATTTTTTGAAGAAGTACCGCCTTTATAAGGCGATTGAGGAGGAGCTAAAGAAGGTAGGTGTTAGAAATGGGTTAATGTTAGTGATTGTTCTTAATCGTAATTCTTCTGCTTGCCGTAGTGCCTAATCGGAAAAACGATCAACCGCCCGGAACCGCTCGAGTCGGCAGTGCGCAAAGAACTGTACAACGAAGTCATTCCGCCATATTTCACCTCGAAAGGCGCTAAACTGGATGCGCTATCGGGCATTCAGCTGCTCAACCGCTATTGCATGGGAATGCCACGGGATGCGTTCACAAACACGAACGTTATGTGGGAGCGCATCGACCTGAAGGATGGAAAAATAGTAGTGGAAGTACTGCTCCCATTGCAATCAACGATCCGGGAGAAAATCTCCGGAAACCCAATGCATAATATAAAACTGGCCAAACGCTCGGCAGCGTTCAATGCATGCAAGAAGCTCTACGAAAATGGAGAATTAAACGAGCATTTGATTCCGATCGATTCCAAGTATCAACTGAATCATCTGGAAAATGTTTATTTCAAGCATTGGCAAGATTTCAATGAAGGTTCGTACTCTTAAAATTTGATAATGGTGATGGTAAAATGCATTTTTCTGCTTTCAGATTCCGGCAAACTAGCTGGCACTCAGAAATGCCTCCGATCGCATGCGATACGGTATCCCCCGCAGACGAGTGGATGCTTCCCTGAACCGGGTCAAGCCTGCTACATCTACATTCTGCGCATTTCAGCAGGCTTCGCCGTTGATTCCTCCAATGAAAACATCAACATTTTCCGTTCGCTCTACAATAGTGAGAACAACTTTGGTATAATGACTACGAAACCGCTGCCGGTCCTTGCGAAGATGAAGTTCTTCGTGACCTTAGGATTGATCAATGTGCACTTGGATGAGACTCCCATCATGCTGCCAAACGCTGGTTCCGAAGTAGAGCTGGCCCTGCTGAGGCAGTTCCATGTGACGGTTTTCCGTGACGTGCTGAAGTTGTGGAAGCAATTCCTAGTGTACGATTACTCCAACAAAGAAAACAGTTTCCTAATGGTGCCGTTGAAAGAGTCGAAGCACATCGATTGGGAACTGGTGAAGGAATTCCAGTACTTGAGCGATCCGCCGTCCGAGGTATCAACGATGGCTCGTGAGAGGATGAACTTCGAGGCCCACCGCTATCGGCATCGGGTAGTTTTGCCGTGGTACAAAAACAACAAAGAACAACCGTACGTCGTTACCGCGGTGCATGAGTATCTGACACCGGATAGCCCGTTCCCGAATCCAGAGTACAAGTAAGTGCTGTGGTGCTCTTAGAGCTTGTTAATCGGTAAATTTAGGCTGGTTTGCTGTACAGTTGTCTCCATTTCACTCGATCCATGGCTGTCTGCGAAGGCATCGCAGGTCATGTTCCATTATTGCTCACTGCGGGCCTCTTCGTCTTGTTCGAGAACCATTTTCAGTGCGCTGTCGTCCGACCCACCCTGGTCGCCCAATTGCAACTGAAGGGAGACTTGCAACACTTGTGTGGATTTACGGTTTTTGATGATTAGTAACTCAATAAGCATAAATATCAACGTCTGTCGGGTTTGATTCCCGGTCCGGTCGAGGGAATCTTTCGGGTTGGAAATTTTCCCGACTTCCCTGGGTATAGAGTATCATTGTGCTTGTCACACAATATACAAATTCATGCATTGGTAATTGGCATCGAAAGCTCTCAATTAATAACTGAGGAAGTACATTTAGAACACTAAGTTGAGAGCACGCAATAAGCTAATATGCACTAAGCAATAAGCTTGAAATGCGAATAAGAAGAAGAAGAAGATCAACGTCTGTCGGGGGACCGTTTGTTGTTTACACTCTGTTTATTGTGTCTGGCCATTGGACAAGTAAAAAACGTTAAACTTTGCATTGTGGTTCTAACATAATCAGTGTGCCTCGCCTTCAAACGTCGGAAATCGTAAGTTGCTGCGAAATAATAAGAATAGGGTAATGAATTTTGGTTGGAACTACCCAAAAATGAATCGCCAATTTAGTCCATGTGTTCTAAGAAACTTCTGCTAAAAGCTCATAACTATAAAGAAAAAGATTTTTTCAAATAATTTCGGTTTTATTATGTTTTTAAAAATAGTCCACTTTTATGAATGTTTGCTTCGCTTTGCTTACAAATTCCTTCGCACGCAGCAGATTTGAATCGATGTTATCTCGTCGCTACTTAAAACATAATTTTCTGTTTACTTTCATAGTAACAACTTTCTTAAACTTAGGGCATAGAGGAAATAGATGAAATTCTTATGTTATTTGAGGCATCGCATGATGGATTTTGATCCAAGTCTAAAAGTGGCGACTTCCCTGGCCGGCGGGATCTTGGCTATTCCTTATATCTACGTCTTTGATTTCTATATGGGGGTACACTTTGTGAAAACCGAAAATGAAACATGTAACAAATTAAGAAAGATTTTGAACGGTAATTACTCAGCTGCCCCTGGTCCAATTTCCATAATTTTATCACCAATCGATCAAAAATATGGCTACGCATCGATAACAATGCGTCCGAATGTTGATTTCAACAAGAAACTATTGAAAAACTGGTAAATGTCCAGAATTGTCCAAAAGCGTCGAATTAACTAACAAATCCACCAATTACCTACATGCATATGCTGCTTCTCTAGCACAGTCGTCAGAGAGTAGTAAGTAGTCGAAACAAGTCAAAGTGGCATTCGCCTCCAATCCTCGGGCGCGTGCGAATAGGGAGGATGGAATTGCGTAATATTTTGCACACTCATCGCCATATTCAGAACCAAACGCAAATTCTTTGAGATACGAGGTGTGCTGAAGGTGTTCCTGAGATCCGTGATGCTGTCAATTACACTAAACACGCCAAATTTACTCATCGCTGAGTTCCTGCACTTTTGGCTATTGTGAGTGAACTAAACTCAAATTTGGGTCGTTCTCATTCGCCGTGTACGCAAAAGGAAAAGAACCAGTGTCGTTACTTGATAGCAAACTACTCATAATGGGAGGAGTCTTTGCAGCTTTTATACCACTTGGTTGCACATCATTCTGCTTTAACCTGAAAAGATATAAAAGAGCCCTGCTGTATGGCATTAGCTCATCATTCTCTGCTTGAACGTCAAGCAGTTCAGTTCGGTGTTAGCTCGGTCTCTCGAGTTGTTTGAAAAGTTCGTGGCGATAGTGTTCGCGCTCTCTCTTTCGCGGTTTGTCGTGCGTGTGTGTATGCCCCGAAATGGGGAAGCATCGGTCGCGAAGCCCGGCGAAGGTCCAGAACCCTGGTGAAGGAAGCTCCGGTATGCCTACCTCGAACAGGTTTGCTGTTCTCCCCATGGATGGGAATCCCAGACAACCAAAAGTCGTATAACAATGTACAGACAGTATCGTTAATAGTGACAGTTTAAGACAACATCGCATATAAGTATGACATACATCGCATTGTGTTTAAGTTAAATCGTATAGAATGCAAAATTTGCAACTTATATGCGATGAATCATTTTTCCATCGTACCTTTACCACACATTAAATCGGAGTACATCGTAAGACTTTTCAAGTTGAATTTGTTATAACAGATTAAATCGTATATGATGTCGAATCAACTCGTTCGGCAACGAAAATTCTGCCGGCCCGAGTGTGGCAAAAGTGAAGCTACCTCCATTGGTAGTGAAAAATGACCATCTTAATGAGCTCATCGCAGATCTAGCGACGCTGGGCGTTAAAGCCGAATACAAGTTGGGCAGAGTCGGCACCAAGGTGGTGCTCCGTACCAAAGCGGAGTATGACTTGGTCGTCGCCCACCTGAGGACTTCCAAGGTGGAATTCTTCACCTACGACATTCCCGGTGAGAAGCCATTCAAGGTCGTCATTAGGGGCCTACCAAACTTCGACCCGAAGTTTATCGAAGCTGAAATCAGAGACCGGTACAAGCTGGCCCCAAGTGCCGTCTATCGGATGACAAGGAAGGACGAAAATGTGAAGGCGTATCCGGATAGCCTTTTCCTGGTACACTTCCAGAAGGGGACGGTGACGCTGAATGCGCTGCAGGCTATCCGCTCAATCTACTCCATAATCGTACGATGGGAGCCGTACCGTGGAGGCCATCGCGATGTGACCCAGTGCCAACGATGTCTGAACTTTGGACACGGCACTCGCAACTGCAACATCAAGCCACGCTGTAGCAACTGCGCTCAAGAACACGCCACTTCCAACTGCCCTGCGGATGGAGCCGTGGCGTTAAAATGCGCCAACTGTGGTGGTGCTCATCAAGGTTCCGACAGACAGTGCTCCAAACGCGAGGACTTCAAACGTATCCGAAAACAGGCGGCAACTAACAACCAACCAAGACGCAAGAAGGACAAAATCCCGGCATTTCGGACGGAGGATTTTCCGCCCCTTCGTGCTCCTCAGCAAAGGCAAGTGAATTCGCGGGTGCATTCCGCTCAAGCAACTTCTGGTGATTCTGCTGGCCAAAGTTCTCGATCCCCCCTGGATTCTGGAGACAACCACCAGCGCAAAACAACAACCCCGATCTGTTCTCAGCGGATGAACTGATGGAAATTTTCGGCAACATGTCCGGTGCTCTTCGTAAGTGCCGCAATAAACCCGAACAGATCCAAGTGCTCGGTAAGTTCATCATCCAGTATGGTGTCTAAACCGCTAAGTATCGTCACCTGGAATGCTTGCTCTGTAAGAGCAAAAGAGATTGAGTTTGCCGACTTCCTCCGCAAGCACAGCATCGACGTGGGCCTTCTAACCGAGACCCATCTAAAGTCCGGCGACAGCTTCTGGTTGTCTGACCACAACATTATCCGGCTTGATCGCACCAGCTCCAGGGGGGGTGGTGTTACGGTCGTCGTCAAGAAAGGAATAAAATGCCACACTCTGTCCCATATCCGCAACGCTATCATCGAGGCCCTTGGTGTGGAGGTGGAGTCTTCGACTGGATACGTCCAGTTCATCGCCGTCTACTGCCCTCGACAGTGTGCCGCCAGCAGTGGACTAGCGGCTAAATTCAAGAAGGACCTTTCCACCATCACCCGTAACGGTTCCCGCTTCGTAGTAGGAGGAGGTCTAAACGCTCGCCATGAGGCCTGGCTTAACTACAGGCAGAACCAGAACGGTCGTCTGCTGTTCGACCACTCGTAGCATGGGCTGTACTCCGTTTGGTTTTCGGATGAGCCAACATTTATCTCACCGGCGGGCAACCCATCGACGCTAGACCTGTTCCTGACAAATATCGGCTTGTCCAAGCCGGTAGCCTTGAACGAACTCAGTTCGGCTCCTGCTTCAAGCCTGCGCAAGGACTATCATCGCGTGAACTGGGCCCAGTTTGGACGCGTGGTAGACAGACACATCATCGACAACCCGCCGCTTCACACCGTGCAGGACATCGACCGAGCGTTGGAGGGACTCCACCAAGCCATAACCGTGGCTGACGAGGCGTGCGTCCGACGAGTTCCTGTGAGGGGTAAGTTTATTGCTATTGATTCCCACACCCAACTCTTAATTCGCCTGAGAAATGTTCGTAGACGCCAGTTTCAGAGGACTGGAGATCAAGCGATGAAACGTGAAATGGCCGATCTGAACAAAGAGATTGCTTCCAGAATGGTCTCACTCCGGAACGAAAGTTTCGGGCGGCTTGTCCAGAATCTGGACGACCACTCCAGATCATTCTGGAAAGTTGCCAAGGTCTTAAAGACGCACCCTAAACCCATTCCGCCACTAAAAGATGAAAATGATGACGATCGGCTCATAATCACCCCTCAGGAGAAAGTAAATGCGATTGGTGAGCATATTGCCAAATCGCACTTGCTTGGCTCCAACATCCAAAGTTCGCTCGAAGTTCAGGTTGAGCAATGTGTACTCAACCTTGATTCCTCCCCTTGTGCCATCCCTCCGGAGGATAGAATCACAGTGGAACAGATTTGCTCAGCGCTGAAATGCACCAAAAACATGAAGGCCCCCGGGTTTGACGGAATATTCAACCTAGTGTTGAAAAATCTCAGCATGAAGGTTCACTCTCTGCTGGCTGCTGTCTTCAACAGATGCTTGGAACTGCACTACTTTCCAAGTATCTGGAAGACAGCGAAAATCATACCTATCCGCAAACCCGGGAAGGACCCAACGCTAGCTTCAAGCTACAGACCAATCAGCCTCCTTTCAGCGCTGAGCAAATTGTTCGAGAAACTCATTCTCAATCGTTTGCTCAAGTTTGTCGAGGAAAATAACATTCTCCTTCCGGAACAGTTTGGCACAATGGGCTTGTATACAAGCTCTGTAACTT